AAGAATCCCGTGTAAAGAGTTAAATGACTCGTTATTTGAGAGTTTCAACTTTCAGACACCATTTATTTGTTTGTATGGCGTGTAATCTTGTTTTTTAACCCGTACAGCTCGCGACAAGAACTTTCTCTGACGTCAAACCGGCATATGCAGACACTGTACTTATTTTGCAAAGTGTACGATTAATATTAATCACATTTATTTACGCCAAGCTTTTAGAGAAATCTGACTGACACGGCCGCCTGAAAATCAATCACGAAGACGTGCTTACAACAACTAGCTCTGTTCTAAACCGGATGCAAGATTTGACACAGCATGACTTGACAAAAAAAAATCCCTTTATCGATTATGAACACGGCTAACCTCACGTAAAGAGCCGAAAAGAGCAGAAATCATTACACAGAATATTTTGTACTCTAACGCAAATGGGATTGGTGGCTTGATCTAGGACGTCTCTATGGCAACCTGAATGACACCCTTACTACAAGCCTCTTTTGGCAAATGTTTCCATTTGTTTTAAGCTTTGATGGTAAAAGGCAACTCGAAGTTAAGTCAAACTTCTTAAACGCATTTCCTGAACTGCTCAACTTTTTGGGTCACACATCATTTTAGACAATTCTGCATCATACAGGCTGCAATCAGGAAATTAATAGTCTTAAACCTTAAACGGAACTTTGTAACACAGCACAATACAGAAACACCGCTCAAAACAATAGTTAAACGCACAAGAAGTCTCGAAAAACAAAAGGCACATTTAAAAGTCGATCTCCACGTCAAACACCTCTATGTGAAGGTACCTACGATTGGTAAGTACTTCATATAATATGCATCTGAAATTGAAAGGTCACGTGACTCGTCCAGCTACGAGAAGAATACTGATTCAGACGTGCGAAATTTGAAATGGGGAAAATTTCATAATGATACCAGCATATAAAAGCGTGGAAGGATTCGCGAAGAAAAGGCCCGTTTGTTATTAGTTAGGATATCAGAAAATCACTCGTCGCAATTAAGGCAGTGTTCGTGTTTGGATCCAATTATCATTTCTATCCTAAAGCCACAGTCAAGAAATAATCTGTCAGTGAAAAGACAAAAGCTTCCGGCTTTCAAGGCTTATCATCAAAACTATGGATCACTGGCTACAGTTCACTAGAAGGAAATTGACGAATAAGCGCGGTATAGTATTTCCTACAAGATTTTTAACGAACGCTTTTGATTGGTCGATTACAGTCACGTGTCCATCGTTAAACAAAATGGAAACCACGGATAGTGTAAGAATTGGACCCCAGGGGGGTACTTTACCCATAGGCTAGGGGTGCCGCCGAGTGCTTGAAGTCCTGTTCCTGTTTAGGACGGGCACGTCTTCATATAGGCCAAATAAGGGGGTTATTAGTGCTAGCTTAAAATTGTTAATGGAACATAAATTTACTGATAAATTCTGAGATACAGATAGATGCGTACGTCAAATGACGCCGAAAACTGCTTCGCTTGGTCTGACACAAAAACAAGTTCAGCTTTATAAACTGTTCAGTCGTTACTCTATTTCACACAAATGTTTTTGGCTTCCGTTATTTTTGAATTTTTATTAAATCACTAATCCAGTGTCTAAGTTGTCGCTGGACTTTGATACCATGCAGCCTCTATGTAACAGAATCGCATTGTCCGGTTTTAACCCAATTCTGCTCACATGCAGCTCTCGTGCGGACCACCAAGGGTTTTACTTAGTCACTCCAGATGCACCTAATCTTAAAGTAAATGTCACTTATTTTTAGAAGAGTTTTAAGAAGTAGTCTTAAACCGGCTGGCCTTAATTACTGGAAAAGTGAACTTTAATCAAGAAATTTCATCCCGTATTTAGATTAGTTACTTGACCTGATCATTCTATCTCTTGGACCCCGCAGGGGGAATTAAGGTGGCTCTGATATTTAAGTACAGTGAAGTTCACAAAACGGATGCTTTTATTCCAATGTGTTTGTTACCTTTAACCCGCAATGTTCTTGTTTAATCGCACGGAAGCATCATCTCATCATTTCATCCTGTATTTAGATTAGTTACTTGACCTGATCATTCTATCTCTTGGACCCCGCAGGGGGAATTAAGGTGGCTCTGATACTCAAGTACAGTGAAGTTCACAAAGCTGATGCTTTTTTTTTTTCAATGTGTCTGTTACCTTTAACCTGCAATGTTCTTGTTTAATCGCACGGAAGCTTGGAAAAAGATTGGCGGTTGTGAAAGACTTATCAAGGACTTACTTTTAACTATTAAAAACGCAGGGGTTACGTATTAAATGGACTCCTGAACAACGTAAACATGATGGGATTTTTGACGCTTATTTTAATTAAAATTGCTCCTTTGATGACGACGTTCTATGAAAAACCAGCCATATTCTTTAGTCTAACAAAATCACTCCAAAGTATTTGAGCATAATGTCTTCGTTCTTAGCACCCAGGCTTTCTTTATGTCACGCCACTCCTTCAAAGGCGTAATTTAGAAAGTCCTGGTGACCAGTTTTGGGAAAAGGTCGCTAAAAACATGCAAAACAGCGCTTATTTTCCGCATCCTGCTTTCATTATTCACAGCTTTATTTGGTACCTAATCACGTATTTGCATGTTCTTCAACTGTAATGAAGTTCAACAGAAAAGTCATTCATTGAATTTTCCTTGATATGTAAAGCTGCTTTTAATTATAGCAAGCACTTGAATTAATGAACTCAAGCGCAATTCCGTTAAGAGATTAATGAAATTCGTTGACAGGTTTGTTGGCCAGGCGGTGGGGCAGAATTTTTTAAATAGCTCTATTCACCCTTTGTCCTTTGTTCCTCATTAATTTAACTGACCTTGCGTGCGTTTATTTATATCTCAGGACTGGAACAAGGGAATCGCCAAAAGCGATACATTAGTCAAAAGTGACAGAGGCACTCCAACAACAACCTTTGTACGTTAAGGTATGATATAGCAGAACTCCCTTATGGCTATCAATGATAAATACAGATTAATCCCGATTGTCTGTTTACCGATATCCACGCACGATCACACGCAAAGCATAAGGTTTCAGTAGAAGAGAGTTAAGCTACAATATAACACAGCTTAAAGGATTATATATTGAATAAATTGGCTTAAATTAACTTGATTATCCCAAGATTTAGACAGTAGAATAATGAAACCAATGTCTTACTTGACGTGGCATCTAAAGTGACAACAGAAAGGCATTGGTCGTCCACATACGAATAACGCTTAAATTACTTCCTCGTTTAAAAGCACCACCAGAGACAATCATTATGTAAAAAGCTCATTGTCAATTCTATGTGAATAAGAATGGCAAATTCTTTGGCGAAGCTTGAAGTTTCTGAAAAGGATGTGAGAATAAATGAGAACAAAGCCCCCGAGGGTTCATTACCCAATATTGGCCTGCTGAAACATATCAAAGTCATTAAAGAACTATTTAAGATGGGCCTGACTTTAGAGATGTTTCTGCCAGCGCTTGTGAAACAAAGATACGCTCAAGGGGTTTTAGTCCCTGCTTTTGAATTACGATGAGTTTATGACGTTAGTGGCATGTTCTAATCTTTCTTTAATGAATTTTGATTTCTCCAAAATAAATGACTGTGTAAAATTGATTTAAAATCGGTAGAGCGTCCCAAATTGTGTAAAGTGTTCTATTTTGGTTATCTTTACCCTATGTAAAAGCTCAGACCATCCGAAAGGAATAAAACAAAAGCAGGAAGACCTCGGCTGCCACAAGGTTCCAGCTCTTATATTATATCGTTCAGTTTAAGAGAAGAGCTGACTAACGTTGCATTTTGCCAGCAACGTATTTAAAGATCACATGATTAAATATGTTTACGCGTATCTACTAATCAGGCATGTTATTTTTAGCCCCAGCTTACTGTTGCTCATCATTTGTGCAATTCGTTGAAACGTGCTGAGCATAATGTTTAATGTTTAATCGTTAATCTTTCTTTATACACGGTGAAAATTCAGCAGGATTTACATATAAGATAAATATATTTATACCTATACAAAAAACAAAATGACAAACTCAGATATTTGTTCGATCCATTGTATGTAATAACAAGGTGGGGCCTTACTTTGTTTTCAAAAAGATGTTTAAAATTTCTGAGCACCAATCACCGATACTTTGTGATCAGTTGATAGTCATTGTTTTGATCTTGTCAGTCCAGCTGTTCCTCTTTTCTCTTTTACGGCTTGCTTGCATTTTTACCATTTCTAACTACTTATTAACCGAGAGTGAGGTCTTTACGGGAAAATCTCAAACCGAAACCTTGCAAGACCGAGGTTTTAGATTTGTTTACATTATATAACTTTTTGCTTTGTTTTAGATGGCTCGTAATCGGCCCGTGGTCATTGCGGGATAATATTGCCCTGGAATTACTGGTAGTTACGTATTAGTATAAGTTCCATCAGATCAAGTGCCTTTTTATATTATGAAATTCATGTCGTTAATAATCTTATATTATTATTATTATTATTATTATTATTACTATTGTTATTATTACATCATCATCATTATTGTCATCATCATCATCATTATCATTAGTTCAGTTAGAACCGATATTCCTCCAGAACGGTCCACGTTCTTGGTCACGCAATTTTATGCAACAGAATTTCCTAGTGTTACCCACGTAGGTGTAGATCACGTGACTGGTTCCTTTCTTGCTCGAAGCTGAGAGAAGAGGGGCTCTTTTTTCTTTCAATAGGGGCGATAGGGCCCCACCCTTAATGTGCTGGGGGTCCATTAGTGTCTTTGGGGAGTTTTTCTGTAACAGAACACTGCATCACAATGACCTATCCACTCGAAACTAAAATGACTTAAAGCCTAAACCGCAAAACAAAATTATTAAGAGCTATAATCCCACAAAAAAAATTGAAACGTAACTTAATTAAGAAAACAGACGTTGGGATTTTATTGCGTGAGTAAGCAAAGAGACAACTGCGCTGCGGGCGAAGGAAGGTGAAGATCTGAGGAAAGGACGCTGTGGTAAGGTTTTGGTGTTAATTCGATTTCAACTGATCTTAAGTAACACAGTGGGTGAAAACAAGCTTTAAATGTGCGCTAAAATAGACTGCGGTCTGTGGATATCTGTTAAGAGCCGCGCAGGTGTGCATTTCGTTTTCAACCTCGTAATTGTGGAATAACACCGGAAGATTTCTTTCGCGCTATGTGCGGTTTTCGCTGAGTTTAGCTTTTTGTGAGAGAGACTTTGGACGAACAGACACACTGGAAGTGTTATCTAGTTAGCTGCGAGAGCTGTAGAACAGAAATAAGCACACAGATGTCAGTTTTGTAAGATCCTTTAGTATTCGAACCGATCATGACTTATTGCACGTTAAGCTTTGTCGCAATGCACCTCATATACAAGCCAGTATAGATATCTGACAACTGTACCATTTGATAACATATCATGCAAACATCTGGGAGATAAAATTTAATGAAGTTGTGCGTGATTCTACATGCGCCTATAGATGCCCACAAGCTGGAGAAGGAACTGCCATTTTTAAAGAGAATAGAAGAAGAGCAAGATTCGGGACCTTCGACCTTCGGCGGTCCAGGCTAATCGCATACAAATAGAAAAATTACAAGGAGGATTGCAAAAACAAGAAAGCATCCTCGAGACATATCTATCAAATCAAGGGTCTTAACCGAGATATCGTCCTCTTCTATTGTGTCTCAGGTTACGGTTAATCTTAAAATTACGCTTATTGGAGCAAAAATATGCCTCAACGCTTGACCAGTACAAAAATACTTATAGGGTCAACAAGATAAATGTCAATATTGACTGATTCACAATGTATGGTATTTTAAGAACCACTGATAGTTATTATGGTGAAATGATGGGACTTTATAGTCACTAGTTAAATGCCCACAATTTAAAATCGATCACCGGAATACTTAAAAAACGTTAACAGCGTGCACTGTAGCAGTATTTTACAATTTTCCCAATTATTATATAAGAATTCATGCTTCATGCATCTGAAAAACAACCTAAACTGATTTAAAGCGAAGACATTGGAGAACTTCTGTAAACCCCCGACGGCAACGGCAGCGAGAACCTCACCAAACAGAAGGTTAAAATGAGTAGACCAATGGCTGTGCACATGCGTTATAATTTTCTTTTCGGTCCTCCGCACAACAACAGCGTAAAATGACTAAGTTTTGCGTCGGTTTGAAGGACGCGAACAACGGCGGCTAATTTTTCGTATTTTCGTTTGGAATTGAACCCTGGCGTTACGTATTTAGCTTGGGCAAGATCTGAGACCAACAGGCGCACTGTACAGATCTAGACAATTGCGAAATTGCAAGATAAAATGAAAATTCATTTTTTGCTCTGTTGTCATTACAAGCTCTGTAATTCAAACAGAAATGGCGCCGACGGAAATTCCCGACGGGAATTGCATAAATACGGTCGGAAAATTCACTTAGTGTAATATTCATGTTCAGTATACAAAGCAGGTTGGCTAGGTTTCCTCCGTTCTCTCGGATCCAGTCCTCGACCGTCATCCCCTCGGGGCGACGAGCGCGGGTTCATTTTCCCGTTCAGCGGCTGATTATCTAGTCAAATGAAATTGAAGAATTCTGGATCAGTTTCGCCGGAATTTCATGCTCTCAGAAAATCCTAGAATGAAGACTAAGTAACATCTGAAGGGCGGACATTTATCCACAGCTCTTGACATTAATCCCGCATAAAACACGAAAAACCACTTAGTCTACACCTGTAGAAAAATGAGACTTTTTTGAGAATGAGAAATACTTCATCAAATTAACCAGAACTCAGTTATATTTTTCGGGAGTTTCTAGAATAAGTACTAAATTATATAAGACAGTTTTCTCAAAAGTCAAAAACACGAACATAAAAAAAAGTATTTTTACTTTATATAAGTTGAATTTTGTGGTGTGATCGAGATTAGCGTATTTTTAAACGCTCTTCCGTTGCGAGAAAAACCCTCTGATATTTCAAAGGCTGCCCGATCACGTCGTTGGCGAAAGTAAATGGCTCGCTTGTGGTGGGCGTAGAAAAAATTTTATACAGGTCAGATTACTTAAATTTAATCCGTGAAAATCGGCCTCTAATGCTATCTATAAAATAAGCCTTGTCCATAAAGAATGGCTTAAGGCATCAGTGTTTCACACAGAACAGCTGAGGACAAACTCACGTATAGTTTGAGCCATTGAAGGAGACAGTGCTTTAGATAGCTTTCAATTTCATCGAAATTCAGGTATGTTTTACACAAGAATTATATAAATAGAATTTTGCATCAACTTGCATAATTATCGAATCTGCGGAATTCAGAAAACAAATGTAGAAAAGATGCATTCCTGAGAATTGAGCTGAAATTTTTAAAAACATATGCTCAAATACAGCTGATTGACTTGACTGATTAAGGATTTCAGCCGTTTACAAAGGCAAATGCAGCTGAGGAAAACGTTGATAAATTTTAGTTTTATTGTTGTTGTGAACCTTGCGAAACGATATAGTATTGATCAGATCATCATTCCGTGTCACGACCATTCGTAGATAAATATGAAGAGAAAAAACTCAATTTAAAACATAAATGCAGGAAAGGTCCGTCATAATCTCTAGGAAAACTCTGAATTTCAGTGGTGATTTCGCGTAGTTCTGCGGCCTGGTTGCTCTTTATTGTCACTGTGGTTTCTTTTTTTAGCCCGATAATCGGTTCCATTTTTGCTGCGGTAGATTTTTAATTCGAATTTTGCACTGATTAGTGTTGTTTATTGGTAGCCAGTTTTACGCAGTTCGGTGAACTGAGGCTCTGATGACAACTTCGAATCACTTGCGCTTTGTAACAAACTTTAATGTTTATTTGTCAAACAGATCACAAAATTCAGCTACGATCCGTGTCCGATACCTTGTCAAACAACACTTGAAAAACAGACGACTATTGAAAGACTGAGAAATCTCCTAAGAACATCTTTACGTCAAATTTAAAAGAAACGTAATTAAGCACTCAACCTAGCTACTAGTCAGTTCCGATCTTCCGTCTCAAATAGGGCGTTACCAGGAAATCCACAGAAACAACAACAATAAAACTGATATCACGGCCATGAGGTAGTTTTAACTACTAGTCGGTAGTAGTTTTACCATGCACGTATTGTTTTCGCAGCTAGCTAATCTTTCTTTCGCCAGACGTGGGATTTACTTAAAGCTCATTAAAAACATTCAATTGGATGAAATACACCCTGGTGAAAAAAGAGCTAATATAACCAATTACTTTGCAAAATTTTACAGAGCCATATCGATGTTAGTGTACGTGCGTCGAAATCTTCTCGAGTTTGAAGAGTTGTTTCAGCTTTGTATCATTTTCTCCGTTTAGTTCGTCGCCTTGGCCAATTTCATTTACTTGCTAGATACCTCGAAGGCAAAACTAAGCACCTTTTATCGGGCAAATAACAAAAAAGTTCGATTTATTAGTTAATTCTATGGCCTTGTCGAAATCAAATGGCGAAATAGCACTCCTATAGTTGTACGACAGAAAGGGAACGAGAAAGTCACGAAACAAAATGGTTAACGAGCAAAACAACGGCTGTGCACGTGCGTTATAAATCTTTGTACATTTCGTAACCGTACTCTTCAAAACAACACCGTGAAATGACTAAGTCTTGTGTTTTGTGAAGGACTTGAGCCACGACGGCTAATTTTTCGTTTGTTCCCCTAGAATTGATCACTTGTGTTACATCTTTAGTTAAGTAGGGTTTTAGACCGCTCGACTTAATGAACAGTTCTTGATAATTGCGAAGGCAAAGGTAAAATACAAATGCCTGATTTTTCCCCACCCGTTGTCCTTGGCGTCGCCGTTGTCTTTGCTTAAACTCCCTATTTGCCGTCGAATGAGTGTGTTTCAGCGAAATTCATACTGCGCTGTATGAAAAAAAAAAACTTCAAAAGACCTCCTAACATTATTTGAAAGCTAACTCAGGGGTAAATGATAATTTTAACACTCTTAACCCGGTGAACGCCCAAACATCCCAGGAAGCATTGGATTGAGACCACTAATCTGCTGATTCAGGCGCTCAAGTAAACTAATAACGGTCGAGTACTGCACTTTGTCGGCCATTGGATCTTTGCTCCTTTTTAATTCGCAAGTTATTTCGCCTGTCAGGATACATCAACATTTTCTCAGGTATGTCACGAAAAAGAGAGATATTTTAAATGTCAGAAATTCCCCAGAAAGGCATATTTGTTCTCATAATACCAAGTAAACAGAGAGAAGGTCAATTTTTCACCTCGTAGGGTCTCTCACGATCAGAGATTCACTATAATCTTCTTGTCCTTCAATGGTAACCTTACGTTCTTCGTCAAACCGAGACTAATCCTATTTAGTGATATTGCTACATTATTCGGTAAATGGAGGATTATAGCCACACAGAAGTTTATTACTGTATAGAGATTTCATTGCAAATATATTCAGGGATATCTTACCACTGAGCTGAGTGTAATAGAAGACATTTTCCCGCCGTTACGCGCCGCAATCATTGGAAGCAGCCTGCAAGCTTTTTCCCGCCAAAAGCTCACCTTAGCTCAAATTTTCAAGATTGTATTTATGTGATAACCAAGTCCGTCATGGGACATACCACGGTATACTGCCAGAAGACAGTAAGGCATGCTATATGAAAGAAACTCATAGCAAACTTACATGTTTTTGACTAGAAAATGCTTTTTTCCCGCTATGACTACTCATTCTCGATTCATTCTTTAAAACATTTGAATACCAGCTGTCTCCTGCCATTTTCTTAAAAGCGATTGTGATTATATTCTTCCTTAATAAGATTTATTTTCAGACATGGCGTCTGCAGAACAAAATCTCCGTACATGGATAACTCTTAAATTTCGAGTTCATTGCATTTTTCTAACCTATTCATGGCGCTTTTCAAGGGCTTATTTAGGATCTCAATTGGGTATTAGCTTTGAACGTAAGGTGGTTCAATCCAAAAACAATAGTTTGTTGTTGTGTAACGGTTGAAGTTTTACCCCACCGACCGTTTGAAGCTCTTACCGTCAAATAAAGACGAATCATTGAGACTCTTTCAGCAGTTTACCGTAACTAAAACTATTAAGAAGGCTAGGAATTCTAGTAACAAGCGGACAGCAACTTTGTACCAAGGTTAGACATGCAAACTTCTGTGCGACTGTTTTAAATGTCTTCTCTAAAGAAATCCTTTCTAACAACACCACGGTCGAAAACTAACTTTGAAGTTCATATCAAACACTTGAAAGTGCTGATGAAATTTTAGCTATGTTTCCACATTTTCTCTAAACTTTGAAATTATTTTCTCGTGTTCCCATGGGAAATTGTGTGCAACTTCTGGCAACTGTATATTTATATCTTTAGCGGCTTTTAGAAAATGCAAAAAGGACTGTAATAGACTTAGAGTTATTCTGGTGCAAGGCTTTTGTCCATCAATTAAAAACTGAAATTGTTCGATTTCCTATCGGATTTCGTATTAATTGTTGTTAACCAAGGCACTTGTTAAGTCTTGGCACAGCCACCACCTGACTTTCTATTTTGGCAAATTGTCTTTCACGATGTTGTTTTACTACGATAGATGGGAAGAGTTTGACATATGTCTGCTAAAAAGAAATGACATTGTTGTAAGCTATAGACGACCATCTTCTCTTGACATAAGCTATAATTATTTGTCAAAGAAAATTCATCGATGTAATTTGAACTTTTCTCAGATGCGACGGAAGAGAATTTCTTTAACACGTTTAAGGACGTTCGCATCCAACATGATCTCGTGCACAGACTTTTTTAAAGCTTGCCATGGAGTAAGGCAAAGATCAATTTTACCAAAACGTAAAAAAAAAAAAAAAAATGGGGGGTCATCGTTAAGGCGCATTGAAGTGAGGCTATGCATTTTTAGAACTGAGCTTTTGTTATTTTGAGACCATCTTAGCGTGCGACGTTCAGCAATAAAAGAAACTGCATTAGTGAAGTTTACATCAGGTAAACGTACTAAATTTAACACAACTAAGTATATTGAGTAAACTTTTGCAACTTTTCATTCCTTGAGGGAAAATAGGCCTTGAAAAAGAACACATTAGCCTTGTCCGTACACATTCGAAGAAGACTTCCACCACACGAGAGCAATACGAAATATTTATAACTTCCTTCTCACGGATAGATTTTTTCTGTTTTTCGTTCAAATGGAAATTATCGAAAAGGAAGTGATCTATGAGAAGAACAGAGGAGGTCAACGACCATTTAAGAGAGTAAATTGCAGGCGAAGTTAGCGCACCTGGTGGTTAGCCTTATAATTGCTTTTAGCATAATTTCCTTGATATTCACCTCTGAAAATTATACTAAAACAATTATTCGCCTCAGGCTCAGTGAGCATTGGTGAATATTCACCAATGTTCACCTCGCCTTTGGCGAATAAATGTTAAATATTTCTTCCTTAGCGCACGCGCTTGATGTATGACGTGCGTGACGTTGCAACATGAATATCGTGCGCAGCAGGGACGCGCAGTGACAATGGGCGCGAGAAACCCTTATTGTTTCCTAGTGTTGTTATGGCGACTTAGACCCTCACACCCACTGTCCCAAAAGACTGCCGGCTCCTACACAAATAAACGCATGTTCACTCATACACTTATTTTGTCTCTTTCTGCTCAGTTACTTTGGGTATCGACCTGATGTATACATCTTGAAGAATTATACGACCAGACAACATTTAGTGCTCCGTATTGCCTAAACGTATGAGTGAGATGTCTTCCAAGATAATAAACACGTGAAAGTTTACTGACATATCAACCCTCCCCACTGTTAACGTTTCTCTCGAATCTCAATGTCAAACATTGAGATTCCCGAGACGAAGTCGAGGGAAACATTGAGATTCTCGGGAAACAAAATTCACTGTTCGCCAAGGGACCAGCCATTAAGTTATTTGTTGTATAGCAAAACAAAAGCAAAACCAAATTTTGAAAAACGCGCTGAGATTCCAGCGACAACATCAGGCCACCTTCAACTGCACGCTCTGATCACGTGCAACAGCGGTCAACATTTCGCGGGTAACAGTGAACTGTTTCCCGTTTGACGTCATAGTTTTTGCAATGTTGCCCGTTCATGGCATTTGGCGGTAAACAGTTTAATTGTAAGATGTCATGTGAACATGAACTAGCCAATGAATGGGCGCACTGTAGCGGGAAAAACGCCAGCTATATAACAATACAGATGATGTTTGCGATGCTGCTGCTTCGAATAACTACATCGTGTTTCTGCGTGTTACTTTAGCTAGTATTGTAACGTAACATTGTTTTATCGTCATGTGTCAGCAATTCATGCTTTAGTCGGAGCCTTTTTAACAAGTGGACTTGTTCTTCAGTATATCTAGCGACAATTTCAAGGGTCATAAATCAAACTTAAAAGCCTACGGTTAGTTAAGCTTGTCTCTGTTTAAAAAAAACAGGAAGTGAAAGACGTCAACAGTTAAACAAAGCATATGGTATTGGTTCTGCTTCATGAGATTTCTTTAATCAGTTTCTTGTGGATTTTTTTAAATCCTCACTATTTAAGGCTGTCTCGGATTTCTAAGGTCCTCAGATCACTGACACTAAGGCAGCAAAAAACAACTGTGTACATTTAGTTTCCAAGTTGCAAGTCGGCAAGATAATTACGGAGTCAATTTCATGTACATGTCCTGTCCTTAATCTACTATCTTGTTTTCGTTGGTTAAACATAGTCAATAGAGGGGAAAGGCTGTTTATCTTTTTTTTATTATTCAACTTCGCCAAACGAAAATACTTATGCACATAAAATTTTTGTCAGGCAGGGAGACTGCTACAGCCTAGCCAATTACGATGGATCCCTCGTTCAAAACAAACCTGACGAAGTTCCATATTTCTTGTACGTCTTTGTTCGCTGTTTTGGCCTTGACTTTGCACAAAACAAAATAGCTGTTTAATACTAACTGAAGAATTAACCAATGGAAGCGTTTCAATTGCTTAATTCATGCATAGTGTATGCGTGCAAAACAAAAGATTGTTTTTCTGCTTACAAGTAGAAATTCAATAAGCCCACTGATGTTATACGCATGTAAGATGATTAATGAGTTTCCTTTTTTTTTTAGCCCAAAGGCCAAAAAAAGAACAGAACATAACTAGCGCAATTAAAGTATCCCAGGCTTTCAAGTGCTAAACACTTCTAAGTTTTGACGATGAAACTTTCCACGATATTTTCGATGATCATCGTCATCTTGGTTTACACGCGGAAAGGAAGTGGAAGAAGACGGTAAGAATTTCTCACATTGAGTTTCAATGAATTTTCTTCTTACATTAATTTAGTGAAATCAGGCGTCGAATAGGGAACACGTACGAGCGCCCTAGCCTGCAAGGGCTTTTTCAGTCTGAACGACCAGCTCCAAAAAGGTTTGTTTGTTGCGTTTTCAAAGTAACTTTGGAAAGAAAGAGCGAGTTAATTCAACAATTTTCGCCGAATCTGTCCATGAAATTTCTGTTATTTGCTCATTAATTGCGTAAGATATATAACAAGTGGAAATTGCGAGTGAAGTTTAATGAAACATTGCCTTGTGTTTCCGGTGATGCCTGCCTTCTTTCGTCGTTTAGGTCAGTTATAACTGAAGCATTACTGAATAAGATGCAATGCAAACAAAGTGTCATAGATTGTCATTCTGAATGGAACTTTAAACTAACTTTAGAGCAGTTAATCTGTGAGAGAACCATCGCTTTTTAGTTATAACGACGTAACAAGCTACTGCAATATCTTAACTATATTTGAAATTAGTTCATTTCTCCATGTGGCGAGGTATATTTTTAGATCATGTGATAATGACAACATGAAATAATCAAGTTCGTTCTTTTGATCGATTCACTTGGTTTTATCAACAGATCCAATTTGGTAGGACCAAGTACAGCGGAACAACGCAAGGTTTGTGATTTTCTGTTTGTGCTCAAATTGACACTGTTGACGCTAAAAGTTGTTTGTTTCACACATCTTTACCTCTACCTCATCCCCACCCATTTTTAATTTGACTCAGTCAGTTTTAAATAACGAAGGAATTCGAAGAGAGTGTGCAACAGTAGCAAATTTATCGGGTCAATGAAGACACGATTACATAACTCAGTTTCAAAGTTAACGAGTAAAGTTACATAAGACTTGAGCATTTAGTTGTCTACGACCATTTGTTATCGATATTATCGACAAGGTTTGTGATTGTTAGTTTAATTTGTGCTCAAATTGACACTAAAAGTTGTTCCATATCTCTTTATCTGTACCTCATCCCCACCCATTTTTACTTTGCCTTAGTCGCTTTCCAATAAAGAGGGAATTTGAAGAGAGTGTGCAACTCTAGAAAATTGATCGTGTCAATGAAGACCCGATTACATAACTACGTTTCAAAGCTAACGAGTAAAGTTACATAATGGCCTCCACAGACATAGAGGATATTACATGCCCGCGCGTGGAGACGAATTTTATCTTCGAGTGTTCAACTCGATATCTCAAGAGTGAGATATCGAGTTGAACACGAGAAGATTAAATTCGTATCCACAAGCGGGCATGTAATATTCTGTTTGTTATGTAAACTTACTAATGACGACGTTTTTGACGATTTTCCGAAGATTTCCGACCACTTTCTGAAGATTTCCGAAGATTTTCCAAAATTGTTTCGAAGGCCAGACGAACGCTTCCGAACATTTTCCGAACATTTCTGAACATTTCCCAAAGTTTACCGAAGATTACCGGAGATTGCCGAGGACGGCCGAAGAAGATCACAAAATGTTTCGATCATACATCAACAAATTTAAGTGTAGTTAAAAGGACAGAAGAAAAATGTTATCAAAAAAGAATGATATCTTCACAGTGTGAAAGATAAAAATAGTATCTTCACTGCGCGCGATGAAGATATGATTTTTTAGTAAAAGGAGAAATCCTGGTATTTCACTGTTGCTTAATTATATAATAATAGGCATTTAGTTGCTGACAACTATTTGTTATCGATTTTATCGACAACTAGGCAGTTTCCCTTTCAAAAAAAGGAACTGCTTTGGTTGTCGACAATGACATTTTTTTTCCGTTTTTACCGTGTATGGGAATCATCGGTTTAGTTGTCGACAACTAATGAAACCATAAAATCAGTTTATACCATTGCGACTTTTCGGCAAGAAGCTTGGCTTGGCCAGCCGAAATATATCGATCAAAACTTTGAAAATTCGCCTTATATCGGTCTGTTCTTTTACAGTAATTTTTTGGATTTGATGATGTCACTTGATTTCAACCTCGTAAGGTGTTAGCGTTTGCTTTTATTTTATTTTATTTATTTATTTATTTAACATTTCTTTATACACGGTTAAAAATCATCAGGTAATACTAATATTTAAAGTTATATATAGTTATATTTAAAGTTGGGTGTGCAAGGTTTGCTTAGAAACAGTGCTAAAATGGCCCGCTCGTTTCTGATGCCTTAAGGTCATTCCACTGAAATAGAGCCTGCACTGAGATTGTTGTCAAACTTTGCCTATTGATTGTTTATATTACAGGAAATTAAATTTTGAAATACGAATGTGGGGTCGCCGTGTTCGTTTAGGTGCAACAACACCTTGTTTATACCCAATGAATCCTTGTAATAGCACCATGATTATAGTCACCATTGCTTGTTAAATTCATGTTTCTGGCAATTGTTTCCTGTTCTACCCTGAGAATTGGTTCATATTTATTTTACATAGAGAAATTTACCACTCAATTCAAAACAACAGAACAAAATGATAGGTTACCGCACTCGCTTTCGAGAAAATGACAATTTACCTCTATGCAGTCCAGCCGTAAAGAAAAAGCCGCCATTTTTTAATGCGCGCGCGCTAATCACGCGTGAAATTATGGGCAGTAGGGATATGCAGTGCAATACTAAGGATGACCTCAAGTTAAACTGTTCTAATAATGTTATCATTTGTAGGCGTAACCTTTATTATCAAGCATTGTGAAAGCAGGAGGTCATCGCGGACTGGCCGAATGTCAAAGACTGTTTAAAAACGAGGTCTGGAACTGTACGTTGGATGACAAACACGTGTTCAAAGAGTTGCCTATCTTTTTCAAAAGAACCTTGCCTCACGGTAAGAGCTTTGTTTCTCATTAATTTTATGCCGGTAAAATTCCCGGTCATAGGGTAACCCTCTGATCAAATTTGACTTTCCATAGTCTGAAGTGACAATCGTCTCTCGCGCCGCCCTCAGTCCAAACACCGGGCTAAGGCAATTTGAGCTAATTTGGTCTGAGGGCGAGGTGCTTCTGAAATTTCGGGCTTGCGCCCTTACACGGCACAGTTTATGAGGGGCGAATGTAATTTTCTTAAATATCACTGCAGTCGTTGATAAACCTCTAAAAATTTCATAACATATGTAAGCAATCTCCTCGTTAATCCAGTTTTTTCGAATTTTATTCTTCGGTACCGAGGCGGG